GTTGCTGATTCTGTTGCTGTTCCTGTTGCTGTTGCTGTTGCTGTTGCTGTTGCTGCTGTTGTTGTTGTTGTTGCTGTTGTTGTTGTTGCTGTTGTTGTTGTTGCTGTTGCTGTTGCTGTTGCTGTTGTTGTTGTCGTCGTCGTCGTCGTTGTTGTTGTTCCCCACCCGACAGGAAGGGGTGGTTAGATTTTATGGTAAAATCCGCGTGTGCGATGCTTCTACACCACGCCCCCACCCAGCATCCCGCCAGAGCAACTCGCCAGTGGACCCCTCCGAGTATCCCGCCAAAGCAGCTCGCCAGTGGATCCCGCCAAGTATCCTGCCAGAGCTGCTCGCCAGTGGATCCCGGCCAGTATCCCCATGGCTGCTCGCCAGTGGATCCCGCCGAGTATCCCGCCAGAGCTGCTCGCCAGTGGGTCCCGCCAAGTATCCCGCCAGAGCTGCTTGCCCGTGGATCCCGCCAAGTAAAAGCAGCTCGCCAGTGGATCGCCGAGTATCCCGCCAAAGCAGCTCGCCAGAGGATCCCGCCGAGTATCCCGCAAGAGCTGCTCGCCAGTGGATCCCGCCCAGTATCCCGCTAGAGCTGCTCGCCAGTGGATCCCGCCGAGTATCCCGCCAGAGCTGCTCGCCAGTGAATCCCGCCAAGTATCCCGCCAGCAGCTTGCCAGTGCATCCGCCGGGTGGATCCCGCCGAGTATCCCGCCAGAGCGGCTGGCCAGTGGATCCCGCCCAGTAAACCGCCAGCGCTGCTTGCCCGTGGATCCCGCCAAGTATCCCGCCAGAGCGGCTCGCCAGTGGATCCCGCCGAGTATCCCGCCCGCCAGTGGATCCCGCCGAGTATCCCGCTGAGTATTTCAGAGTAGCTCGCCAGTGGATCCCGCCGAGCATCGCGCCAGCCAGTGGGTCCCGCCAAGTATCCCACCAGAGCAGCCCGCCAGTGGATCCCGCCGAGTATCCCGCTGAGTGCCAGTAGATCCCGCCAAGTATTCTGCCAGAGTAGCTCGCCAGTGGATCCCGCCGAGTATCCCACCAGAGCAGCCCGCCAGTCAATCCGAGTAGCTCGCCAGTGGATCGCGCTGAGTATCCCTTGCCGGTGGATCCTGCCGACTATCCGGCCAGTGTCGAGCCGGAGCGGCCTGCCAGCATTCGCCAGTGAGCCCGCCAGTATCCCGCCAGAGCTGCTCGCCTGTCTAGTTTTGCTTAATGTCCCGCCCGGTGCACAGTTGGGTTTACATTTCATGTTGGCGCCTTCGTGTTTTGAGTGTACCCTGGGCTCGGAAAGGGTGATGCTTTTGCGTTGGGTTGGGCTGCGAACAAGCAACTTCGTCTAATCCCCCGTCAGGTTTCTTTTTGGGAGGGGCTTGGCTTTCGTTGACGGAACCGATGTTTGAGTTCTCGAGATCGGCCCGCAGACAAGTGGAGTTTGACACACAGACAGGTGGATAAGGCTCTCAATGCAAAGCTTGTCTGGCAATGATCTTTATGCCCGAGACAAAGTCCTGAGTAGTGCTTCTTGTTGAGAGTTGGCGTTCCTGCAAGCTGAACTCAGCGGTGGCCAAAATAATTAATGTAAGGGTGGTCTTTGTGCGCTTGCGCGGCGCACCAAACTCTGTGAACGAACTTCGCAACGTTCTTCTTGCCAAGCATGCCCTGAGCTCGAGTTGCAGGGCGCACGCTGCCAGCTTTTGCAGCTCCCAGAGGTGGCGAGCCATAATGTAAAAATGTGTTTGTAACATTCCGTGCTTTTGACCTGGGCGCAAAGGGCTGACTTTGGTGGCTGCACGCCCTTGCGCATCGCAGCCATAAACAAGCGGTTTTTGTGACCTGCAGCGATGTGCTCTGCAGTGCGCGGGCTGGCGGTGGCTTCTGCAGATGCATAACCCGAGTGCCTTGCCGCCATGATCGGCCAGGCCATGTGCAAGTAGTTGTTGCTCGAAGTTTCTAGGATGCGGAGGAATTGTAACCGGTCGTAAGCTCGTGAGTGTGGAGGGTGGGGATTGCTCGAAGCGAGGTAATTGTTGTTGTTGTTGTTGTTGTTGTTGTTGTTGTTGTTGTTGTTGTTGCTGCTGCTGCTGCTGCTGCTGCTGCTGCTGCTGCTGTTGTTGGCGGCGGCGGTGGTGGTGGTGGTGGTTGGAAGTTGGCGAAGGGAAATGGTGGCGCAGCGCAGTAAAACATCCAAATGGGGCACAGACGAGCTAGCACATAAGGGCACGGACGAGTTAGCCATCGAGGGCACAGCCGAAGGCGCACCCGACATGGCGCACCCGCCGACAATTTGTTTCTTCCTGCTCAATGGCCTGGACTCAACTGGGTGTGGCTCAAAATCAAAGAGCTAGGGCAAACCGCAGGTTTTGGTCCATGTTTCCACTTACCAGGGCAACCCATTTTGGAATTCCGGTTTCTTGAGCCACGGCCAACTCTTGCGGGCTTCTGGGCAAAAAACACCCCACCAGAGGGCGAGCCTCTCACAGTCTCAGGCGCCGGCGGATACCGCCACCTGGCGTTGGGACATATTCCGCGCAGGGTGGAAGAGGTTCCGGTCCTGCGCAGAGAGAGGCTGTGGTCGGTTTTACCATTGCCAAAAACCGCTGACCCCAGAAGAATCAACCCCATGTGTATTTTTTGGTGGGGAAGGTCCACTTCTCTTTGTGGAATCCGTCCCTGGCGTGGGGGCACTCTGGGCGGGCAGCTTATTAATAGGGGGTGTCCAACTGGGTTTTGTGGGGAAGTCAGACCACTGTTGGAGGGGAACACCTCCCTATTAATAAAACTTGGATTGATTAATATGGGGTCAACATTCTCAAAGCAGCCGTCAGCTGGTGGCAAAGTCTGTTCATCGCACTATCTGACCTTGGGGGAGCAGTGTGCGCTAGCGTAAAGAAACCCTTGAAAGAACGATTTGATTGATCACTGCTCCCCCGAGCAGCTTGCAATCCAAGCCACAAACCACGCTGGTATCCCTGACCGGCATCCTGCGATCTGACACTTCGAAGTTAACATTACAAGCTCATCATGTGCGCCACACACTGCACCCGGCCCGCTTGCCCCAAGCATTGCATCTGGCGGCGAAGAAGCGACATGGCCAGCGCAGCTGCGCATTGCAAATAAAGTACAAGGAAGGACTCAGGGTGAGGCATAGGACCAGCCCATGGTGCCACCGTCTGAGCCTGACGTGGCCATGAAAACAGGCCACAACAACCAGTACGCTGACTTTGCTAAGAAGTGACGTCACACAAAACCACTATGCAGCTGCCGAGCCATGGCAGCAAAATGTTACATGTGCAACAATTTGGAGTTTGCCAAGTAGCTTAGATCAACCGATCATGTTCGAGCATACGGCTTTTGATACGCCCTGTCAACCGCTTGGACCACCCTGCAGCTGTACAATGCAGGTCTTACTGCCCGGTAAACTGCAGCGAGCCTCTGCAAAAAAGGCTGCAGGCCTTGCTCGCAGCCGCGAAACAGCAGATTCGCTGAAAGGGAGTCGCAGTGTCGACATGATGGGTGCGAAATGCGCAGTGAGCGGGGCCAATTTGCTATTGTTCCCAGTCGTTCCTGGCCGCTGTGTCCACGGCTGAATTGAGACGAGTTTTGCCTGGCTCAGCAGCCAGTTCATGTTTGCAGTTCCCCTGGCCGTCACTGCGAGAACACTTTTTAATGCAGCGAGCAGTGCGTCGCTGGCCCAGAAAATGTAAGAATGCCAATGAGCCTGCCCTTCATTGGATGCCAAAAAGCTTCTTCATGCCAATGACTACTTCCCAGTCTTCCTTGATCATCTCATCTTTGAAATGCTCCTTCAATGTGTCAATGCTCTGTCGGGTGATGGCCGAATAGAGCTGGCTGGTGTGGTCAAAGTGACGACCATACCTTCACAGCTCCTCTCTCTCTCTCTCTCTGCCATCTGTCTCAAACAAATAGTGCTAACCAAAGAAATCAAAACAGCCAAGACGCTTCACTGGTTGATTGTCTTGTTGTTTTGTTTTTGTCCGACCCGGTGGTGCTCTTTTAGGCTGCTCACTGGTGTCACTCGCTCTTTCACCAAAACAAAAACAAAACAAAAAACACCGCTCAAACAAAAAAAAAAAAAACGCCATCGCCGAGATGCATGATATGGTTCTGGGCGGTGGTCTGCTCGATCTTCACGCAAACGGTATCCCCTCGGCGAGCCTTGGGCACCGCCTTCTTATTGATCTCGATGCCCGCCACGTGGCCGATGATCAAATTGTCCTTGTCCGGAACGCACAAAGGAGTCCCCGCCCGCAACTGCCCAGCCAAGACCTGGCCAAAGCACAACCATAGGTGACCTTTTGGAAAAATAGATAGACCTAGTAAATGGAATAAACCCCATCTAAACCAGTGCCATGTATTTTTACTTGCCATTGTTGGCCCAGCCTGACACCCAACGATGATAGGATCTTGCTTTCGAAAGATGTGGTTCTTGTCGATCTGCAGGATTGCTGGGAACACCGCCACCTTCCTCTGGGATGCGGCATGCGCCCAGCCATTCGCTTGCGCACAGAACACTTGCACGCGTAGCAAAGGTGCCGTCACATGCGTCCGTTGACTATAAGGACAGGGGTTGGGTACGACAAGTGGACTTGACTGACTTGGGGTGCGATTTCGAAGACAGCACGCATTCTAAAACCAAACGCCAAGCGAACACAACCTCGCGCGGCATGGTAAGCTGCATAGATGTTGACCAAAATGAAAAAGAGCGCCCAAAATGTGGTGCTTTGCGATGACTCTAATCACACTCCTGGACGGGGCGCTCGTCACAAACAAAAGAACGCAATCACCAAGAATGCGCTCGAACGCAGGCCAACAACACATGAGAAGCACCTACAGCCACATACGTGACCAGTGAACTGCACTCAAGCATCCAATGATACTCACACCCGCCCCACAAGTGAGCTGACGGCACACATGACAGCACCCAATGATTGTACGCCCCGCGCGCGCAGGCGCACGTTGCCAACTTGGCGGGACAAGGCGTGAAACTTGGGGGAGTGGGGCTGGTGGCTGGGTGCGACGGGATGTCGTGTGGCGTGGTGTGGGGTGAGGTGCCCGACTCCAACGAGAAAAACAATTCGCCCATTTGCACCTTGACAAGTGATGGAGTCTGGCTCGCCATGGTGACCAAGCACTATCGTCCAAGCGTTGCCTTACAGCTAGGCCCCCAACGACTGGGATAAAGCGCTTCAAAAAGCAGACCAACTTTCAAGTGCAGGTTGGCTGCAGGGGATTGGCAAGCAAGCAAGGCAAGCAAGCAAGGCAAGCTTGCCAGGCAAGGCAAGCAAAGCGAGCAAAGCAAAGCAAGCAAGCAAGTCGAAACCACCCGCACAAGCGACTGACCAACGCTAGTGCAGCCACTGGCGTACATGTTTCCACCTTTCTCGCCAAAATCAGGGGAAGTCATGCCGACGGAAGGACGCTGTGCCCAACGGAACGAGTTCCCTTCCCTACCAGCGGGCCGAGTCTCCTTGTCTCAGTCTTCTGCGACTCCCGGTATTTCTCCATATACTTGGTAAACTTGTCTTGCAGGTGGTAGATGATGTCAGCAGTGAAGATGGTCACCCCGTCGGTGTCTGCTTGCTTCTGGGCCTCTTGATTGACCTTCACGTCAAAAGCCAGGATCAGTGCGTACTCCTTAGACGAAGGGGCCCGCTGCTGTTTTACCTTTGGGACCAAACTTGGCCAAAACCTTCGCGGTAGCAGCATTGTGGCTCGTGTCTTTGTCACGCCCAGAAGGTGCCACGTTCACACCGGTTCACGCGCAGCAACCTGGTGCCACCTGCTCACGCCGGCACGTGCTGCCAACATGCTCTGCTGCCAGTTGCTCGCCTCACCCAAGTCTTGCATTGCAGCTGTGTGAATGGCACGGAACCTTTGTGCACGACCTGTGTGGATCTTAGAACTGTATAAATGGCACAGAACCTTTTTGCACGACCTGTGTGGATCTTGGAGCTGTTCTTTTTGTTGCTTGCTAAGCCTGGAAAGCGTCGCAGTCTTTCAATAGGTCCACAGGCTCGGACAACACCTGGTCTATGTTGTTTTGAAATGCCTCTGGCGAACAAAGAACTTACCAGCGCAATCACGTCACAATGTGTTTGAGAAAGTGAGGAACGCTAGTTTGCTCTTTGAGGCATGCCCGTCTTCAAGCAGCATTCGCTCTTCCCAGGACCGAGTTTCGGGGTTTTTCTTCTCCTTCATAATGCATGCCTTCTTCACATCCTTCTTATGGACCTCGCCAATACCCACGTCGAAGACTGGAATCTTCATGTCCTGCACCCAGGAAGCGAACACAATAAACTGGGTTGATTCATCTGGGGTCAACCTCAGGAGGGGGCTCTTCGTCGCAAAGACCGCAAGAAAGGGTAGGAACCAGACCAATGAGGCTGCTAGGGCTGTCCATGCGCCCAATGGAAAAGCTTCAATGCATCTGATGACAGCAATTGGATCCAGCTGTTTTTTTTTGGGGGGGGCCTCGTTATCTGAAGTTAGATCACGACAAAGATGGGCGATCCGCATACCAAAGCTGCACCTCCCGGTGCGCAAGCAGCACCCTCCTGAAGGAAGGAGAGCAGGGCCTCCAGAGAGCCCAGGGTGCTTGCCTTCACGTACACCCCAGCTGGCTCCTTCTCAAAGTCATTGAGAATGCTCTCCTGGGCGAGCGCCCGGGAATGAACAAGTTCCCATGCGCTCAATGTTAGATAGCGATTAATATAACGGGAGTGAATACAGAAAAAAAAACTCAAAATTATTCACTCTCCTGAAAAGCAAAAAGGGAGGGTATTACAGAAACAAGATCTGGCCAAAAACATGTCCCCTTCCAAGAATGGACTATTTTTGAGGGTTGAAACGTTTGAGTCCAGCCAGAAGTGTCCAGAATTTCTGGATTGCTTCCTGTCCCAAACCACCAAATTCCTTATCAATCCCTTTACTAGAAAATGCACCCTGACAAATTTTCAAGGGGGTGGCACACGGAACCTTCAGGAAGGCAAGGGTAGGGAATTGTGAAAAAAAATGGCCAGGGCAGCCTGCCAAGAAGAAGAACCAAAACTAAACCAATTCTAAACTGTAGTGAGTCAACTGAAAAGAATACTGAACTAATACTAAACCGATTCTAAACCGTAGTGAGCCAGCTCAAAGGAATACTAAACCAATACTAAACCAATTCTAAACAATACTTACTGGAAAACTACTCAGGCAGGTCCCAGTCTGACCCCCATTTTGATTTTTGGGGTTCTCGCTATTGACCCCCCCCCCAATTCGTTTGAGGGGGGGGGCCCCTTTATTAATCACTCTCCAACATTAGAGGATGGCATGGCAGCTCGAAAGAGTTTCGCCTGGCCCTAAGGTTGGCTATGTTGTAGGACGACTTGCTTTCGAAATGCGTGTGTTTGGTACTTCGGCTCTGATTTGAGTATTCTGTCCAAATTCCGGACAAAAGAATGGCTGTTGTTTGCAGCCAGTGCTACCCTCACTGCCGTCGCTTGTGGCTAAAAACTGCAAAGACCTCCGAGCGTCGAAGCCTTCACTCACCTCCTCCTTGAGCTCGTCAAGATCATCATCCGGACCAACCACCTGGCCACGAAAAAACCGCCGCGACGCGCGCGCATCGCGAAGCGGGAGGCGGAGACAAGCGGGAACTGCGGGCGGGCCGCGAGCAGTTCTGTACCGGCAACTGCGTCGTCCAGCCCGGGGGCTGAGATCTTGACACCCATGGAAGTGCTGATCTGAGCATGGTGAACGTACTCATTCCTGACATTGGCGCATGCCGAGTGAACAGAGTGAGAACAAAGTCGTGCCAAAGAAACAAAGCCCAGGAAAGCCCAGCAAAAGCGAAGCCAGGATTTCATATAAGAGTCTTTACCCGCATCTCCTTCATGGGCTGCGGAGTGAGTAGCGCCCGAATCGTTGTGACAATCGGGCCACCCAAGCCAGCCAGAACGATGGTGTCGCCTTCCTTGAGAGTCCCATTGAGAAGCACCACGTCGATAGTGGTCCCCAGGCCCTCAATGTTTTTCACCTCGATGACGGTGCATTCCAGCTTCTCCCTGACCTCCAGCTTATCCCCCATCAGGTCTTGAGTCAACTTCAAGATCATGTAGAGGAGGTCCGGCACCCCTTCTCCAGTAAGAGCGCTGGTGGGCACGATGGATACTGACGATCGATAATCATCATTCTCCCAGTACCTCAAGCGAGGGTCAATTCCACCAATGCCACAAAAATCATGCGGGTGATGCTCTGCTACATGGTTCGAAGTGGCACTGGCGACCCTCTGAGAGTTGGCTGAAGCCAAGGCTGAAGCCGTCAATAGAATTCTTGCAGCCAGGTCGCAGGTTGCAGTTGAGCCCGCGCTCATTCAGCTGCAGAACCACGTTATTGTACCGAGTCTGAAACTCATCCCGAACAGACTGCTGCTGTCTGGACAAAGCCTCTTGGACGCTGGTGTACTGTTTTGCATTCCACTGGTACCTTGGCTTGGATGCAGGCTACTGCCTTGTGCCATGTTGGAAAACAGAAAAAAAGGTGTTGCGAGTGTCTCTCCCAAGGCGCAGAATGTCAATCTTATTCAAGGCGATGATGAAAGGGCAGCGCCTCTTCTTCAAGAGCTCCAGGGATTCGACCTGGCAATCGGTCAGCCAAAGAACATCTGGCTGTGGCTCAAAAAACCGGAATTCCAAATTGGGTTGCCCTGGTAGGTGGAAACATAGACCGAAACCTGCGTAACCCTCCTGTTTCATTTTGAGCCACACCCATCTAGCTCCCATGAATGCGCCGTTCCATTAAGAATGTTTGCCCTGCTCCTGCGAAGAAGGACGCAACTCGATCCAAAACCGCTTGCGGAGTCTGCAACTGGCGACGAGTCCACATCTGGCCATTCGGGCAAGAGGCAGTCTGTGGTTCCAGCCCATGCCTCGATCGAGAATGCGATTCGCGCACGTCGGGATCGATCCAAAAGCACAGGCCAGGGCACATAATGTCAATCACCAAGATCGCCAGGTCAGCCAAAGAGGAGCCGCGCATGCGCAAGTTGTTGAAGGATTCCTCGGGCTGTGGTTTGATCCGCCCGGGCATGCACTGCAAACCGTTGTTCACCTGAAGTCAGACGCATCGCAGCATGGCAAAAATGCTTCGGGGCACGTGCCCAGGCGTGTCGATGATCAGCACGCCCGGAACCTTGGGCGCTGCAACACCGTACGCATAGTTGCATGGCAGGCGGTGGCCTCTCTCTTGCCACTTGCGCATGGAGCTACCCCAATACAAAAAGAGTCGTGCGCCACGATTGGTTGACTCGCCTGCGCCAATCATGATCGGTATACGGTCTCAATCTCACTTTGGTTTTGCACGTCACCTTATGTACTCACACGCGAAGCCCTCATCACCCCCTGCTCCACTGTGGTACGCGCTGCAAGGTTTTGGAGACGATTCTGTGTTCGCATGATAGTAGCACTAGCAAGGAAAGCACGTTTAAAGGGCCACAGGCAGCATATTCGTGGGCCACAAGAGAATTTCATCCGGCGGGGCAAACCCCTTTCTTACCGAACCACACCAAAGGACAGCGCAGAGTAAAGGGGCGACACGAAAGGTAGGATAACGTAAAGTGGTCCCCCGAATGAGTCGCAAAGAACAGCTTGAGCATGTTAAGAGGCAATTTCCGTTCCGCGAAAAAGGGAAGTACTTGTTGACCATGTAAAGTGGGGCAAACGAAGCGAGGCAGGGACAAGGTGCACCGTGACTCGGTGTGAACAGCGGACTGAAGTGTGAAGCGAAGCGAGCGAAAGTAGTGGCATGCTTTGTCGAAGCAATGAGCATTCCTTTTTCTTCGAGAGATCCACGGTCGCGCCTCCGTGTTCTTGATGTCCCTTCTAATATTCAAACATTAAAATGCTTTGGGTCTTCCGGGTTCCTCCCGGGTCCGTGTCCCGGACATGCCCTTAACAAGGGTCTCACCTGACCGGTTCCCGGCCATTTTTTGGGCTTGATTAAAATGGCATAGCGGCAGGCATGCACTGCATGTTCGCAAAGCAACGAAACCTCACCTACCTGCCCTAGCCTAAAGGATTCCAAAAAGGGGGGGGAGGGCTGATGCCGAAAAGCCCCCTCAGTCTAGCCTTGCTAACACAAGCTAGCCTCCTTGAGGCTACCTTTCGTGACAAAGCAAGAAGATGCTACACAGCTAAGCTGCCTCCAAGTCAAAATCTTCGTCCACTTTCCGCGTCTGCTCTTGCAGTGCGATGTCTGGGAAAAAGGTCGCGCCGATTTGCTGCGTGATACCTCCTGCTTCTCCTTCTTGAACATTGGTTCGCCTGATCTTGTCCAACAACTTCGTCTTGCCAGTGTCGACATGCCTCAGCCGCATTGCACATGTTTGCTCCTGGAAGAACAGGCAACAAGGCCAAACACTTGGCTTCTCTCGAACGAAAACAACAAAACAGCCTGATGCCATCATGATATGCCCTTCAGCCTCCTCGCCCATTGCAACCAAGGAACCCCATAATGCAAATCACTGGGGAACGATAGCCCATGAACGAGGAAGATGAACTGCTGCTGCTACTGCTGCTGCCGCTTTCATTGTCAGAGCCCTCACCCTCATCGGAACCCTCTGCCTCCTCCGCCTTGGGTTTTGACTCGTCTTCCGCTTGCTTCTCCCAGTCATCATCGTCGTCTTCCTCCGCCGCTGGCTTCTCCTCCGGCTTTTCCTTTGGCTTCTCCTCAGCCTCTGGCTTCTCAGGTTTCTCCTCTTCCGGCACCGACGGCTCTGGCTCTTTGTCCCCGGGCTGTGGCTTCTTCTTCTTCAACTTGGTGGCCATGGGCCTCTTCTGCACCTTCGCCTCCGGGGCCTTCTCCTCCTCCTCGTCCTCATCCTTTTCCATGGTAAAGCCGAATTGCGCGCGGAGCTGCGCCGCTCGCTGGGCCCGCACCTTCTCGGACTTCGTCAGGTAGGTGCCATCCGCCTTCTGCTTGGCGATCTTCGCTGCCTTGTGCTCACGTCTTCTCTGGCGCTCCGCTTCTTTTTTCGCCTCCTCCTCGTCAATGAGGCGCTGCTCCTCCTCGATCCGCTTCCTCTCTGCCTCCTCGAACGCCCGCTTCTCCTCTGCGAGCTTCTGCTGCATCTCGAGCCGTTCGCGAGCAGCCCGCACAATGGCATCCTTCTTCCCTCCAGCATCCTTCTTCCCTCCCTTCTTCGCACTGGACATGGGAAAAAAAGGGCACCCTTATGGGTGTTCTGCCTGCTGCGTGCGCGCCTCGTGGAATACAAAGTGGCATGCAACATTTGCTTTGCAGGTAGTAAGTGCTGGTGCTGCTCGTGACCCAGTCAAGTGTTCTTTGAGCACGCAGACAGAACGATGCGGCGGGCCGGGCGAGCTGCTTCCTCTCTCTTTGCATGCCTTCTCCTGCTTGCCTCCATGATGCACACGCGCATTCAGGCACACCCTTCTTACCCACGAGCATGGTGATAAATTAAAAATGCTGATCTGGCTACAACCACTTCTGGGGTGAAACTCTGAGGCGCCGCTTCCTGTTTTAGGAAGCGCCCCTGGGAAGGACGCGACGTTTCATGTTTTCCATCTTCGTGCGCAGCCATGAAGCCGAACTGCTCGAGGAAGAACTTCTTGGAGTTGGATCCGAGCGATTTGTGCGAGCGCTGTGCGCTTCTTGTGCCTGGCGGCCCTCGTCAGAGTCTCGTGCCTGGACATCCGATGCCGCATGCACGGGCTCAATGGGAAGATGTTGTTTCTGACGCTCAACGAGACTGCCTTCAGCAACTCCCGCACATGCCTTGGACTCACATTGCGCCTGTGGGAGCTCCTCTGCATCCCTTTCGTCCACATCTTGGTCCACTTCACGGTCCGGAGTGCCTTCAGCCTCTCCTTTGTCTGATCTAGCTCCCTGGATAGGTTGTGTCTCTTGCACAAACTCTTTGGCATCCTCCAGGTTTTGGGCATTTGGATTTTGGTCCACCCCTGCTGCCACATGAGGGACATTGCCTTCGGCATTCCCCGCAGACGATTCAGCATGCGGATGGGGCAAGGCACAACAGCGGGCCTCTTCAGCAACTCCTTTACGGTGGTCATCCCGGTGATGCTCCAACGTAGGGAAGTTGCTTTCACATCCTGTGGTGGGTTCTGCTTGGGATGGCTTTGTGCCAGCTGACTCATTGGTTTGCCTTTGGTATTGCGCATGCTCCGTGCGACTGCCTGCATCGCCTGCATCGCCTGCAGCTTCTTCGCAGGCCGAGCAGCTCAAGTCAACCCGCTCCGCAAACCCAGCTCTCTGAGGTGCTTCGTCCGGCTGAGGCGCCGGAGAACCACTGGCCAGAGGCTCGGTGATGGGTTCGGCGCTTGGCATGGCATCCTGCAAGCTTGATGAGCCTGCTGCGCCGGCCATCAGCACGGCCAACATGCCGACCTGCGCAGTGGCGTGACATCAAACGCTTTGGCGACACAGCCGCCTTTCATGGAAATGGCCCTCAATTTCACCCTGATCTGCCTATCCTAGAACACCAAAACGCCTGTTGAAAACAAAGCGTCAACAAGCCTCTACATGTGCTCCCAACTCGGCTGCTTGTGCCACGTTCGCAAGGCTGGACTTGCGAGAGCCATGCGCCACCTCGCTGGCCCACAGCAAAAGGCCGCCGAAGCCGTCCACGGGCGCAGTCCCTGCTGAGGCCTCAGCCTCGGCTGCCTTGGCTGCGAACTCTGGAGGCGTAGGAAGGCCAAGTACAACTCAGAAATTCACAAACGCGCGGGCACAAGGAAATCAAAGATGCCTGCGGGAGCAACCAGCAACTCATGTGGGGCACAGCCTTTGAATCGCAAACAACCTGGAATAACCTGGAACTATGGTTCAGCCTGAGCACGCTGGTGATTTTGGGCGAACACCCACCTTGCAGACTGCCGGATGCGCAACCTCCAGAAGATGAGTGCAGCAAGGTGGGATGCTTGTCTTCCACGCACCGCGGCCAAGGAATGCAAGACGGGTCCGGAATGGTCTCCGTCGACATGGCCTCCGTCCTCTTCCCGCACCACGGCCTGCGCGCCAGCGGCGCGCTGCTGGGTGGCACGGGCACCTGTGTTCTGGCTGCGCTGCTCGGTCTGCTCGGCCGCGGAGACACGGAGGGCGTGGCAGTCGGAGATTTCGCCTCCAGTCTTTGCCGCAGATCCTCCGTCTCGATGGAGCGGATACCTGAGCCGACGGCGCGTCCAAGAGCCCTGCACTAGTCTAGGGGTTGAGTCCCCATTCCTTTCAACCATCGTTCTTTTCAAAAACCAGCTGTTTCCCCTGCGGTTCTGACAGTTTTCTGGAAAGAAGGATCCCTGGAAAGAATGGAAATGGAAGTGTCCCCTAGAACTATGCAAACAGCTAGGTGCCTCAAACCAAAACAAGCCACGCTCCAAGCGCAAGGCTTGCTTCTTCGAGAGTTCGCGGGCAATGCGCAGCCGCGGCTTGCCGATGCCTTTCTCTTGCAGAGCAACTTGCCTCTTCTTCTCTGCTACTTCTTGCCTCGAGCGGGTCTGCCATTCCATCTCTGCCATTCCATCATGTCAGCCACGCGTGTATGAAAATAAGAAACAATGCAAATGGGTTTGTACATATGATTGCGCAACCTATGCTACACATGTATGTAATGAATAAAAAAGAGTTTTGCAAATGTATACAGTGTGCACTCACGCATTCATCTGTGGACATCAACTTATGCTTTATTGAAAGCGTATGTTGAGCACATACAAACGCTCAGTGACTGGGAGAGATGGCTCAAGCTAGCTGGCCCTGCCTCTTCAACTCCTGCTCCACACTCTGTGTTTGCTTCTCAGACTCCTTTTGCGAGAGCCGCCGCCGATTTGTTTCCAGAACAGCCTGTCTCACAGCTGACGCGTTCATCATCAGTTCAACCACCTCCTGCTTTGCACATTTGCTCACCTCCGTCCGGTTGTCATGGTATTTTCGACGCTCCTGCCACCTCGAAAACCGTTCTTCCTCCGCCTCCTCCAGCAATCTCGAATGCGCTGCTCGCACCGTTTCCTTTCTGTGATTCTTCTCGCGGGCCCGGGCTTCCACCTCCTTGCGATGCTTCTTCTTGAGCTGCAGGGCCGTTTCCAGCTTCGCCTCCCAGCGCTGGAGAAGCTCCGCCTCGACGCACCTGCTCTGCGCCGGGCCTGCCGACTGCGGCCGCGAGTCTCGAGGTTTGGAGAGCTTGCCTCGAACGGGGAGTGACACTGGATCCGGCTCCGGAAGCCTCTGCTCGATCTCGCACAGCTCGGCCTCCCAAATGACTTGGGCCAGCAGTTGCGTGGCGTACCGCGTTCGAGGGGAATTCGAGGCCTCCTCTTCGCAACATCTGGCCTCCCCAACTGCCGAGAGAACATCTGGCACATCTAGGCCCTGTCGTCAGGGTTGAGCGATTGTTCAGGCAGTTGCAAACATGATATGCCTTGACCTTGCCGATTTTGCCCAGCCCTGCCTGGCGCCACAAGCCCGTCTTGGAATTCTCTTGTGACAACCACTCCTCCAGCTGATCTCGGGCGCCAAGCAGCGATGCCGCTTTGCTCACGTACGTTGGCGGCAGCTCTTGCAAAGGGGTCGTTGCAATTACGGAGCTGTTTGGCCGCCCGGACTGACCTGGCAGCTGGAATGGCACGTGAGCATGTGGGCATGTGGGCTCGTAGCCTGCACGCCCCACTACCCCCCTCTCCTCTGAAACGATCTGCGCCAAAGACTTCCCTGGGTGACAAAATTGACTCGGGGAAAGAAAAAAGTCAACCCTCGTAGCTGGAAAAAACCTAATCTAGTATCAGCTAGTATCACTTGTTCCTCTCTATCAGTTCGCTCTGGCTGCAAAGTCGCAACTTTTATCTACAACCAGTTGCTCCCCGACACCACACCACACCAGACCACACCACCCCAACCCACCCCAGGCCAGGCGAGGTCAGGCGAGGTCAGACCAAGCCAAGCCAAGAAAGCCAAGCCCCAAGCGAAGCCCCAAGCCAAGCC